AAGCCGAGCTGAATCTGGTCGTCCGGTTAATCACAGCGTGTTTCAGGGTGTCAGATCTTCCTTTAGTGCAAATATAATGCTGTGCCACTGCATTTCTGAGACGCAGTCACACTATCATGACGGTGTACACACAGGATTACTTTTTCTATAATCATTAAAACATATTTAAGTTCAATAATTACCAGATATTTTAGCTTAGGTGTAGATTTCAGGGGGGACGAAGGGGACACGTTCCATTTGATATTTTGAACTTATGCATTTGTCTCCCTGATAAAAACATGATAGTAAAAGAGGACATAAACAACACCATAAATCGATGCAGAGAAGACACAAATCAGTGCATAAAAATTCACCAGAATGCAGGAAGTTTTCTGTAAGAGCACCCCCAAATCCCCCCGTTTCAACTATGTCCCACCTCCAGTGTCAAAACTAAACCCACGCCCTTGATTTTTGACGCAACATTTAACTGTTACATAAGAGAAATGATTTTACATTGTCTGATTTACACCTTGTGTGTGTGTCTATAGATCTTCCCTCCCCCCTCAATAACTGGACCACATGAAAGCACAGAGGTTTTATTGAGGAAACTCTAATTCCTGACTTCTAGCTTTGAACTGAACGTGGCATTAGGGGGATAAATGATGTAAAGCTTCTCCCTAAGTGGTCCTCTCCATAATATTGTGCATTTCATGCCCAAAGATGCCATGTTTGTACAGCTGGGGAGTCAGATCAGCGCGTAAAGTACGACATTAACTCTGCAAGCCTTTGAGGTTTTGTCTTCACTGGGGCTACTTTAATAATATGAATAAAAGAATAAAAAAAAAAAAAAACCCACACTTGACCCTGTGGTGCATTTAAGTGTCTATTATTTGTATGTTTTGCTTGATCTGTCCTCCTGACTGAAATGTCAAACTTAACAGAGAAATTCAGGATTATTGCCTTAAAGAAAACTCATCATGCATGCAGGAGAGAGTCAGTTGGAAACCTTTCTGCTTCTGTTACAGCAAAACGAGCTGTTATCCGATCTTTGATTCTCCAGATAAGACAGGACGGACAGCCAGGATTTCACTCAGGTCACTAAAACAGCATGACCGATGAGAGCGTGAGGCAGGAGCAAGACACTTTGACAATTTCCACAGCGTTTTGTAATTCACCCTGCGTGTGAAGGGAGAATTGAACAACACAAAATGAAAAGGAGAAAAAAAAGAAAACTAAAACAAACAAAAGGTGTAATTTTCTATCTGAAGTTGGAGCCTGGGAAACTATCCTGCCAGGCTGCTCGTCAGACACAGACTCCGGGTGGCTGACAGCGGCGAACAGAGGTAAACGTCAATTAAGACGTTACAGTAGATGACAGGCCTAAAGAAAACAGTGCTGAGAGATGCCATCTGGGGCAGACTGTGTAAACTGAAGGTGTCTGAACACGATGCTTCAGATATGGCTAAAATGTTAGCAGCTTTAGACTTGTCAGGTTAACATGAAGAGGCATGAGGAAGACTTTAGGTAGCTGCCGGTGTGCCTGCAGGCTGCCTATTTATGAATTATTTGTGTTTTCTTTGCACGTTCGGCATCATGATTTTAGAGAATGCAACTGTACTTGCACTGACAAGGATGCATATGTTTCGTGTGGCCAACACGCAGGATCGGAGGTGTTTCTTGCAGCTCGGTAGGTCGGCTACAGTTAGCCTTAATGCTAAATAATACCTCTTGAGTGGCATTTTTATCCAGACAGTTTGAGCATGCGAGCTCTTCTCCTGCAGTAGCCTGCCTCACACAAACACAGACACATCAGAGAGCTTTTTTAGGATTGATTGGGTGCTGAGTGCCTTTTCACTGCTCTTGTTTCTGTTTTTAATGTTTGATTTTGTCCAATTAGAGAGCAAAACTGCTTAGAGACACCTCAAATATTTACATTTCAGCTCCTCAGAATGCACTTTACGTCACGACTAGTGTTTGGTGATTTGAAAGGTTTCACAGTGAAATATACAAGCCAACAGGTAAACCGTGTTCTCAAAGATTTTTCAACCAATACACGGTATGTTTCCTCCATCAAATAAATTCATGAGTCTCTCCTGATGGATCATTTTTCCCCACGACTATTTCAAGGTCCATGAGAGCCGTGCTACTGATCTTTTCAGCATGCGTAATGTGTAGAAATTGATTTGGAGAGAAAACAACTCAGATGTGTGTTTTGTTTTCATCCTTCTTTAATAGAACTTCAGAGAGCAGGAAGTGTGTGCGTCATGAAATTCGCCCTGGTTATCTGCTTTCACACGCTCTGGCCAGCCGCCTGCCCTCAAACAGCACCAAGCCTGCACAGCGAGAGGGGCTGACACACAACACACACACACACACACACACACATATCATACACAGATCCGCACACAAAATATAGCTAACATACATGCAACAGACACCAGCAGTGGGCAAGTTTTCATGTCTTTGTTCAGCTAATGAACACCAGCAAGTCAATATTTTCACACAAAGCACACTTTTAAATCAAAGCCAGAGGCGTATACATATCTCATTTTGCAGTGTGTAAAAATATGTGAAAGCCAATTCTAAATTTAATCTGGAATAATTTTGCTGAGAAAAACCCGACCAGATCACGTAAATGTAAAGTTACTTTGAGGTGTTTAGAGCTGAGCTGAGATGGACGGTCAGTTGTGCATCTTGTTATGCAGAACTTCTTCTCAGGCCTTAGGTGAGGGTGAGAATGTGTGAGGTCACACCATGTGACCTTTAGCTGAAGTCGCTGGGCCGCCATTGGTCCAGAGCCAAAACCCCCAAACCCTCAACCACCCACCTCCCCCAGACACACAGCAGCCCTCTCTGCTGCCTGACCGCTGCACACACACACACACTCGGGCAAAGTGCTCAGAGGAGTTGTGTGTTTGTAGGTTAACTGTGTATCTCCGTCGCTGCAAACCTACATTTATTCTGATGCATATAATAAGAGTGTCGTCCATATACATTTTTCTTCAGAAGTGAACATGTGCATGAAAAACAAATTAACCCCCTATAACAACCTGAAAATTACTGACCCCCCCCCCCCCCCCCCCCCCCCCCCCCCCCCCCCCCCCCCCCCCCCCCAAGTCAAAGTCATGATCTTTGATTTTTTCTTTCTGGTTTTAGCACCAGAGTCCTGCTGTGATTTAATTTTGGTCTGTTGCATCACCTCCTCCTCAGCAGCCTTCGAAAATAAACTATTGATCAGAGCCACCCTGCGTGCTCTAATACATCCCAAATCTGTGTTCATTTCCTTCACCCATAACCCACAGCTCCCACACTTTGTGCTGCGTCTCAGCAGATAAAAACACAACCTAAAAGTGCAGTAATTTAAATAAAATGCTGGTTTGATATCCTCTGTGGTGGAATAGGAAGAGGCTTGGTTTGAAAACAAGGCACAAATGCAAACAAATGGGATTTTAATATGTCCCTAATCACAATTAATATCACTTCTAAATTATGTTTTTATCTTTGAAGCTTTAATTGTTGCCACATCTATCAAGTGCATGCAATAAATATATAATTTGCCTGCTAAATGTCATGCATTAGCTTTTAAATTTAAATTTTATTTTTTTAAAGAATTCTATCAATTTACGTTCATACTGTGTTTTCTTGGCTGCACACGCCAGACAACTTGTGCACAAACTTGTGTCTTTTCCCCAGATAAAATGCAATAGTTGAATCCCAGGCCTCATTAGCGTGTAATTAAAAAACATGCTCCCTGATACATCTGCATGCACCGTTATTACCAACCCGCCCCGAGTCTCTCCCAAACCCGCCGCTGCTGCTGCTGCATGAATATTGAGAGATTGTTAATTATTTAGATTGGAGGTGTAACGATACATGTTTGGATATTTGCACTTCCTCGCTTTCTGTTTGAATTCCCAGTGGAGTGGAGGTGAGAGTGTGTGTCGGCTCGGTGTGTTACTTCACATTGGATTTTTTTTTTTTAATCAGCTGGCGGAACAAATCTCACATTAAGATGTGCTAGTGTGTGTCCGAAAACCTGGAGCAGGACAAATATGAATTTGGTTTAAACAGAGACTTGTAATTGTGTTTTTTTTTCTGGAACATGAACTACATATCTATAAAGTTTATTATGTATATTTATCAGGTATTATTATGCGTGGGAAGCGTGTGGCTTTGCTTCTTTAAAGTGGTTTGACGCATAAATGACTGCAGTGTCTGAATTCTTTAAATAATAATTTCAGCTGAGCAGAACAGAAGCAGCAATGGTGCAGTGAAAAAGCTTATTTAGTGAGTTTCTCTATAATTAAACATGAGTGAACATGCAGCTACAGCAGCGATAAATGCACACGTGTTGTTTTCCATTTAGTTTTAATAAGTTCTTACCTTTACGCAGGCTGGAGAGCAGAGGAGAGAGCAGAGGAGAGGCTACAGGTCTGCAGTCCTGTGCGCCGTTTCAGCCAAATGAACATTTCCCACTGCCTCCTCTCTTGAGGTCATCCTGTGCTGATTGTGTCGATGTGTATTGAGACTCGCAGACTTGCGTATTCGGCCTCTACAGCAGCCGAGGCTTATCCCCCCCTGTCAGCTGATTATTGCTCCGCGTTACCGACTCCATCAAAAGGTGACACTCGTGCTACAAAAGCACCCGCAGCTTTTTTTTTTTTTTTTCTTCTTCTTTTTTTGTAAGAATCTAAATCTGGAGGGCGAGTTCATGAGTTCAGGCCGCAGGATGCGCACTGCAGCTCGGGAAATCATACATGTAAAACGAGAAGGATGCTTCTCGTGTGTTTGTTATTGAGCAGTTTTTTTGTAAAAACAACATTTGGACCAACTGTGATTTATTTCTCCTCATAATCCCCCCCCCCCCCCCCGAGACATGACCTCAGGCCTCTTGTTGCATGACATCAGATCCTAAATCAGCTCCTTTTGCAAGGCGACCACATTTTTTGGATACTCCATAATTTGTGATGAGTGGTTTAATAGAATATTAACACAAACAACTCACATAATCAACAGGCTGAAAAATGATCGCATGGCAGCGCACAGTACACCCAGACTATTTACTCGCTTCTTTTATTTCCTGCCAGGACTGTTGCAGTGTTTCCTCCCCGGTGCCTGCGCTCTGCCTGCAGCCACAGAGCTCCACTTGTCCCCCCGCCTCCTCCACTCAGCTTCGGCCCACATACCTCCGTATCTGTCTCTCTCTCGGTGTGTGTGTGCGCGCTTGTTTGCTCAAGCTTGTGAATCATAGTTTCCCCCAGACCGTAGCTTTGTTTTGCTTTGGCGCATTTGCGCGCTATGGAGCATGACTTAAAAAGTGCCAAGATACAAAAGAAAACCACAGGGCAAAAGCAAACAGATGCACGTATAAGTCAGATAGGCTGCATGGAGATAATGCAGATTTCTGGAGCATATAGGGAACAAGAGTGGCATTAAAAATATGAAGATAAACTCTGGACAAAAAATGGATAATTTAGATTTAACAATTACATTTTATGGAGCTTAAAATATGAATTTAGATCATTTCGATTTCATAAAAATCCTTATTAAAGCAATAATGGGATCAAATGAAGATGTTTTTGTCTAATAATCCTCTTCACAATCTCCTCTGAGTTCAAACACAGGGAGAAAAAACAAACCCTAATGGACTGTTGTCACTGTTGTGTGGTCCAACTCCTGTTTGTTGATTCCCGTGTTATTTCAAGCACCAGTGGACCAGCCGAGGCTCTTGGCTGAGCAGGCAGACATGTATTCAGCAGTTAATCTGACGGAGCATCTCGCTCGCTATGTGTATTGGAGCGGGCCCATTGTTTTCCTCTATAGATTAGCCGCACAAGCACCTCACATAATCGAAAGGCTATAGACACACTGTCATTGCTTTACACTCCACTAACAGACTAACTAACACAAAGATTCAATAAAAATCAGAATGTTTTTGAACAATATATTTACTTCCATTAAATAAAACACAATAGTTTTTTTGGATGTTGAAAAAAAAAAACATAATTCCGTACCAAATAGTATACACAGAGCAAAAACCAAATAATTTGTCGCAGGAACATTTTTGATGCTTTTCTTTTTTTAAATCCAGAATTGCTATTCTAAATCGATATTCACACAGACATTAATAATAAATTTATAATATGTTAGAAACACACAACTGGTGCGTTTTTTTAGTATGTACATTCCCTTTTGTTTGCAAGCAAAACATGATTCCTTTTTAGGGTTTTTCTTTTTTTTTCTCTTTTTCCACATGCGTTGATAAATTGAACCTGGAGAGGACTGGAGGGTTATAGCGCATTCGCCTCGACAAAACAGGAGATGATAATTCAAATATATACAACCTTTTTTCAGTCAACAATTAACGTCCAAAAAAAATCCACCAGAAAAAAAACCCTCATGACGAGCTATGAAAAATAAAACAGGCCTTTTCTTTTGTTTTACTGTGGCGCAGTGTGGAGCAGGCCTGGACTCATCAAAAGGGGGAATAAAACCTAAAATCTCCCGTTTTCAGTTTTTGACTCCGACCTGGAGTTGAGCTTGTTTCAGTGGTTCAGTCTTCTAGTGCCCTTTTTTGAAAAAATGAAAAAGTAGTTGTAGTAGTCTCTTGTTCCTGTGGCCGGCTGTTTGTGATTACCCACACACTGCAAAAAATGACCACCATAGCAAATCACTTGGTCTTGTAATCACCCTCAGAATCATGTTTAATCTCCCCTAAAATAAATGGATGAATAATCTCACTTGTGTCTTTGAGATGTTTGGGGGATTTTCAAAAAACATGTGGCAATATCTCGAGGAAAAAGTCTGAATAGTGTCTTAAAAAGTCCAAGAAAATGCCATATGATCAAGAAAATTCCCAAAACACACGGAAAAGTACAATTATCTCAGCGCCAGATTTCCTCTCTCCCACTTTACGCGTCACTACCAGCCTATAATGACTTGCTAAGGTGGTTATTTTTTGCAGTGCAGATAGGTATTAGACTGGTCTGTCCACGGCGTATTGGCAAGCGCTCAGATTAGTGGCCGGATTCTGCACACTGGCGTATCCAAAACTCGAGTGCTGCTTGGCTTTCAGTCTCAGGCTGGCCAGGCTGGAGTTACAAGTGTCCCTGTACACATAAGGAGGGGTCGGCGGCGCGTAGGGACACGCCGAGGAGGGCACCCCGGAGTTGAGAGACGGGTTACTGAGGTTGTTCAAGTTATTGAGGCTGTTGAGGCTGGAGCCCGGCACGCCGGTGACCGCCGACGGCACCATGCTGGAAGTCATGGAGGATATAGAGTTGGGCGGCGAGAACATGGTCTGCGAAGACAGGGGGTTGACGTTCATGGAGTTGAAGAAGGGGAAGCTTTTGGTGGATAAAGAGGCCGACGTCAGGCCCTTGGCGGCCCAGTTGTTGTACGTATAGCTGGGGTACATGTCGTCGTAGGGCTGCATGAGTCCGTTGAACTGCGGGCCGAAGCCGTTTTTGCAGAGCTCGGCTTGTTGATTTCTTTCCCGTTTCCTCCACTTGGCTCGCCGGTTCTTGAACCAAACCTAGAGCAAAGGGAATAAGAGCAGGTTAGAAATAATCTCAGAGTATTGTATAATATTTTAAAGCCTTTATATTTATTGCAGGTGCTTATTCTACATTTTAAACCCAGGCACACTGTCTTTAATTTTCTGGCATTGGTGCTAAAATTAAATCACAAACATTTAAAAAAAAATCCAAACAAATTTAACGTATCTAAATGCAAACACTCTTTATTAATATTTATTTCCCTGTGCAGCTAATCCCGCTTTGATGCCATCTCTATCTGAGCAGAATACACACCGGGCTGTCACTGCACCATCTTTAAGTGGAGAGGGTGTGTATTCCTTTGCAGGCGTCCACAAACACGCTGACCTTAATCACACAGCACCAGGGCGACAATCGCAAAATACAAGCTTTGCACCTCTTTCACACGAACAGCAGAACACGACTGGTATCTGTCACCGACAAATGTCAACAACCTCAACTGTTAACAACGTAATAATGTGTAATTACTCTAAATAGGCAAATAAAAATAGCATTTGTCCTCTTTTATTGTGGAATTGCAAAACAGATTAAAGTGTGCCAAATTAACTTGTTCTTTAATGCGGTATTTTGCATTCTGTGCGCAGAGGGTTGGAATTATATTTAGCCTAATAGACAAACATATACAGTGTAATTAAATTGAGCATGAAGCAGCAGTATATTTAAACAAGACTCTGATTATTTGTTTTCCTGTTAAAAACTGTGTCCTACATTATTTTCAAGGAAATTTCAGCCGTGCGTAAAGTTTGCTGTCCGTGCGTAATAATACCAAGGTATGGAGTAGTTGTAGGTTAACCGGGCAATTGGCACAAATTACCCGGAATTATACACACCAATTGTTTTTGTTTGCACCCAAGGGACTACTCACCCTGACCCGGGCCTCTGTGAGGTTGGTCCACACGGCTATCTCCTCCCTCGTGCTCATGTCCGGATAGCGATTCCGCTGGAAAGTGGCCTCCAGTTCCTGCAGCTGCTGGCTGGTGAAGTGAGTCCTCTGCCGCCGCTGCCGCTTCTTTTTGGAGGGGTCGTCTGACGAGTCGTCGTTTTTATTTTGGTTCTTTTCTTTTTCTGTCAAGAGGAGAGAAGTTGATTCAGTCAGGGGTCAGAGGGGGATTAAGGCCTGTGTGCTACAGAGGGGGGACAGAAGAGAAAGAATCCTGAATCCATGACACTGCTGGGAAATGGATGAGCCGGACACAGTCTGACCTCACTCAGGAAAGAATGCTGTGATTCATAAAATAAACTCAATTCGTTTTTTAATTAATCTAAATCTGCATTTTCCTTCATTTTATAAGATTCTTAGCTGACCCTTTGATTTAATCTTAAAACTGAGTGTTACGAGTAAATACCTGACTTATTTTAGTTGACACAAGACAAGCTCTCTCTTCCCTTTACATAACACAGAAACTTTTCACTACACCACACTCACACCAAACTAATTATGTGTGACAAAAATGACAGCTGTAATCGCATATTTGCATGCACGTGAAACTCCTTTTGCGCCGCTTCATGGGAGCAATCTTTCTTCTTTGATATGAAGATGACATCCGCGGCGCCTTGCCGAGAACATCTGCACCCGGGGCGGTTCTTACCGACTGACTCCGGACTGGATGTGTCCGACACCGTGTGCACCTCTAACCGGTGTTTCGAGTCCACAGACCGCTGCAGCGGCTGTAAAGTGGAGGCCATCGCCAGAGCCGTGTGGTGCGCGGAGGCAAGTTTATTCCCTGTTAGGTGGTGGTGGTCTATGTTTAATGGATCCCTCATAGAGTTCATCGGTAGAAGATCGCAAAAACTGGCTGTCAAAAGCAGAGTAAGTCCCTTTAGTGCAGCGATGATAAGCGGAAAGTCCGTCTGCGGAATGTATTCAGTTCTCCAAAAAGCGCACAGCAGATGAGTTCCTGATGCGGCTGAGTTGAAGCCCTCTGTCTGTTTAAACTGCAAAATGCTTTAAAAGAGGCCATTGAGTGCTGCCATACTAGCATCGGTGGTAAACAGCGGCTACCTCGGCTGACTATCAGAGTGACAAGGACAGGTAGGTGATATTAGATCCAGAGGCATACACACACTACACCGCTCTCTGTTCATTTCAGCTGTTGCCTGCGCACTGCCTATGCGCCTCTCTCCAGACCTCCACGTCACCATGTTGCGCCCGCCCATATTCTCTCTGACAGGCACATCCATGTGGATATGACGGCGTGCCCAGCCAACCGGAGCTCGCAGAAACGAGATATGTGTGCCAATGTGTTTATGCCGGGGCTGGCGCTTTATTTTTCCTCTTCCAAATAAAAGCATGTAAAGAGAGATGGGACGCACGGTGTACCCGCGGCGCTCCGTTGCCGTTGCGCAGCAGCCCAAGACCAAATAAAAATGAAAATAACACAGTTTGGCCTCATTTTATGAGATGGGTCCAGTGGCCCAGTAAAACGATGCAGTTCTATTGATACCCAAGCTGAGCCGCCCTGCTCGCAGGCGCTGCCACCGCAGTTTACTCAGGGACTCAATGTGGATAAGGCGAGCCACCGAGCGGATTGTGTTGAAAGCCGTATGAAAAAAAGATGCACACTGAATATCAAACACAGCAGCCTGCTACAGCAGAGTGAGGACACGCGGTTAGAGGGAGAAATACACGGAATTTTAAAGGGAGAGATGTTAGACTGCGCCAGAACACTCTGTGCGCACTGACGCTGAGAGCCAGACATGTACAGGATGTTAAAGCTGGTTCAGCTCATACAGGCGGGCAGTATGGGGATGCAGAGTTTTAGTATCATGTATTCAGCAAAGGCAGTGAAGTAAATAGGTGGTAGAATGACTTAGAGGTAATTGCGCATCCCCGCTCTAATCCTCATATCCAGCTTCATACTTGGATGTAACGTGCCAAACTGACCTAAAGTGGTTTCCTATCCTCTACATCCCTGTATGCACCCCACACGCTCAGGAAAAGCATTGTCAGTCATACTAGTTGCCAAATGAGACGATCCTCTTGACCTCCCCAGAGTTGAGGTTCAAATATCCATTAAATCACAGCAGAGCCACAGTTAACCACACAGACTCGGTTTGTTGACGACGGATTACTTTATCTGGGTGCTTAACTGGATCTCTCTCCTCACTTTGCGATTGGACCCCTCCGTCGTTCTCAGCCAGCAGCACTCCTGTAGTGTTTTTTTTTTTAATCTGATAAGACTCTCATTTGCCTAAGAATTTCTGAAGGAGGACTTTTAATGAGTTTGAGCTGATACGCCAGCAATTTTTTTTAACCTATAACTCCCCAAAGATTGTGACGCGTTAAGGCAAAGCAAACACGTCTCATCAAACAAGTTTAATTTTCAAGGTGGTGGTGAGGGTGGGGGTGGAGGGGGGGATTGAGGGTGGAGAAATGTCAGATGGGTAACAGGTGATTGGAGTGATGGGCTGATTGGAGGACACGCCAGTACAATTAGTGCGACTCGTGCCAGTGTGCGTGCAAAATGACTTTAAATATTGATTATAATCTGGTCATTTTCTCATACCAGGACACAACTGCTTCATCATCACCATAATCATCATCGTCAAATAACACATTTCACATCTCCACGTGGCTAAGCGGACGCCCCATTCAGGCAGCACATTTGGACTTGGAGCTGTTAAGAAGTTACTGGGCTAATCCCGTGAAAGCCCCTGATATATAAATACCAGCAGACCATAGACTACAACACTCTCTCTCTCTCTCTTTCTCTCTCTCTCTCTCTCTCTCTCACTCACTCACTCACTCACTCACTCACTCACACACACACACACACACACACACACACACACACCCACACACGGGCGCACTCTGAAGAGACTTTATTAAAACATGGGAGGCCAATCGGCCCTCGTGCACAGCAATAAAACCTTGTTTGGATGCACTGTGACTAATTTAATTAAGATGGTGCACATTTTAAGTCATAATTTATAATCATTAATGTGTCATTTTATAGCAATGGATTTATTTTCATTATTGGCCTTTATATATTTTAAACAGTGCAATAATACCCTTATTTTCCAAACCAAAAAACGCACAGAAATATTTTATTTTCAGCCCTATTTCATAATTAATTCTAAAAATACGCGTTTTATATTTGAAAATCAGGTGTGTTTTTATTAGAAATAATATTATTTGATGCCAAGCAGCGAACAGTCTGTTGCTTCTTTCTCCCTCCAGCCGTATTGTACTACTAAACTTGAAGTGGATTATCGGTTTCCTCTTCATTTCTACCTTCTGAATGCTTTATCTCTCTTCTGCGGATTACTGCGCGCAATAGGCCTCCGCCATTGAGGGCCATTAATTAGCAATTCAGTCAATATAGGGGGGGATACGACAAGGCTTTTTACATAGGATTAAGGAGACATCAGATTCCTCCATTAGTATATTCCTCCTCACGAATGGGCTTTCATTATACATTTAGTTTTCCCCGGAGTCAATCCAACAAGCGCTGCATATATTACAGCAAAACAGTTGGCGCTGCTGGCGTGTCTATATTTGCAAGCATCACTCCTGACTCCCCCCTCTCCCTCCTCCTCCTCCTCCCCGCGTGCAATTTTTATTTTAGTTATCCTATTATGCTTAATCAATGGTCGTTCGCACTGTGCAGCTGTGAAGCTATGAACAGCCTGCCCTCTGCCACATGCAGCCCCATCAATGTCGGCTAAATGAGACAGAATGAGAGTTATCGGTTATTCGTTTAAGACCCTAACAAGACCTGATGTCATTTCCACACCACGTTGGAGAATAATTAATAAATCCCAGAGTTTGTAGCGCAAAGGATTTCTAGCTTTTGTTGGGTTTTATTTCTAGATGTTATTTAGGGAAACATGTCGCCTTAATGCGAAGAGAATCGAAGTATAAACCACATTAAAATAAATATATTTAGTCGCTGTACAGCAGCAGCCTCACTGCGCCAGAGGCCAGTGAATTAAAGCGCGTAATAAGATGTTAGTGGTCATATAATGTCCATCTTCTAATTACAACAAATATCCTCAGTGCAGAGCTGACACCCTGATCAATGCCTCGGCTGATGCTCTGCAGCTGCACATCCACATCCCACCACCAGGTGTCCCTCTAAGACAGCAAACAGCAGCAACTTCTCTCCACAGTGACCAGCAGACAGGCCAAGATATCTCAACATTTTGGACATCCATTGCAAAAAAATCCATCCAAAGCTGCTTTTTTTAATTCCAACTCGAGTTTTACAATGCGAGTTGGAAGATTATTTTGTGAGAAATCAACTTTATTTTGCCCTTTTTTATTGCATATTTTAAGATCATATTTAAGAAACTGCACAACTGTTGGCTCATTACCAGTGCCACAACTGTTCACTTACTTTAAGCAACATTAGATTTTAAATAAAGTGGGCTGATGATGAGAAACCAAATCACCAGCAACCTTTAAACTCTACTTCTTTTGCCCTTTTCCACTGAGGGTGAGAACAAGATGAATATATGACTAAAACTGTGTGTTAATGGTAAATAATAACACTGCAGTCATGTCATTGTGCCCTCTGGTGAACTGTCCTGCCAGCGTGGACCATGCAGTTATTAAAATAAAGAGCCATTAATTCAGTGGACTCCATTGAACGGTTCAGTAAATAAAAATAAGATATTAGGTGTACTTAATAAATAGGCTACCCAAACAATTAGCCTGTATAATTGTCAAGAGTGCCGTTTTAATGTTAATACAATAAAACAAAATAGATAAAAATGCTTCTATTTTATGTCTAATTGAATTAATTAAACAATCATATTAAATCCCTACAAAACCACATTTTATTATTTCTGTTTCTGTGTGATATCTGTGCTGTATCGATGATGCATGATGGATCAGATACTCACCTATTTGCGCGCAGGTGGTGGCCAGTTTGCGGCAGTGGGAGTCCATTATGGCAATTTAAGGAAAAACCGCTTCTGCAAAAACAGACAAAAGAGCCATAATTAGCCTTTAAGTCCGGTAAACAACCCCGCTGCGTCGCTCACTGACATCCAGGTCTACTTCTGCAGACAATAATTATTGGAGTCAACATAAGACTGAAAAGAATAGTAGTGTGCTCAAAGGATGAGTATTAGATTACAAGAAAAAAATGCTGGTGGTCTGGAGGAATATTTATAAATTGATGCAAAATTAAAATTGGCGGTGTAAAGCAGGCGCAGTGCTGATGTTATAATAAAGTAAATGCATCAAGGAAAGTTTGGATGTGAGCGTCGGTGGCTGCAGAAATATTCATTTTAATAAGTCTCACTCTGGTTTGAAAGTCTCTTTATTCGTAAAAATACATCAGTTATTAAGTTATTTCTGATTTATTTGACCCGTGTGAGAAGATAATTGCACATTCACTGAGCCACGGCAGAAAATAAAATGTAAAACCTCTGGAGTGGAGGAAAATAATGGAAACAAGATGATTTGCGTGGGAGAAAAATGAGTAATCTCATCATCCTGACGCTTTTACTTCACTTGATTTAAGACAAATGAGTGTCTAAAACTCCATTTTATCGCACGTCATGTATTGTTATATATTTTTCCCAGTGTAAGATTTATTATTTTACAGTCTGAATATTATAAAAAACGGCGTGTTCTGCACGAGCCGGATCTTGTGTTTTGGTGCAGGAACCTGCAGCAGTTGGAAGTGGAGTGATTCCGTAGTAAAATCACGGGATTAGAGTCTGATTGAGATGTCTGTCGGTGGGATATTACAAAATTCATTATCGCAGCCCTCATACTACCTCGATATGAAGTTACACAGATGGGGTTTTATTAGTCCAGGCTCACACTGTTTGCTTATGATAATTCAAGTCGGGGGGAATTTGCATGCAGTCATGCTGTTAACCATTTTCCTCAGCTCTTCTCTTCACCTGCTCTACATCATCTGTGAGGAGGCTTTTTTTCTTCCTTCCTTCTTTCTTCTTCTTCTCTAATTCAAAAGATGCAGATATTGGAGGTTAAGTTTTACGGCGTGTACCTGCGCAACCTTTCTTCTCATCCCTTGTCTGTATCCCCGCTGCAAAATGAAATGGTAGGGGTCAGGCTGTAAGGTGTAAGGTTATTGCATGCGGCTCAGTGTTATCTAATCAGTGAGATTTAATGAGGGGTCCCTCCAATA